CCTGCTGCTGATGCTGACACGGCTGCGGGGGCCCTTGCAGGTGCAAGACATTGCAGACTGAGCCAGAGCTGAAGCTGCTACACTGCCTGCTCCCTGACGCTGGTGGCTGACAGAGAGCTGAGGCTCTACCAAAGCAAAGGAAGGATTTTAATCTCAGAAATGTCTTAAAAGCAATGGGTGTGTGTGTGGGTAATATTCATAGTCTCACATTAAAAATAAGTCATTTCATAACTGATCAAGAACCTCTGATTAAGTGTAAATGATGCAAACTGTCACTCAGTGCTGCTCTTGGAGATAATCTGGTCTGTATGGGTCTCTGGTCTCCATGGTCAAAAGGGTTTTGCACTTTTATAAACTCCCAATTCTAAATACAAATAACAAATAACCGCAGGATTATGCAACGGCTTCTAAAGATTTCCAACCCTAATCAGCACACATTACCCTAAATTACACAACAACATTCTTCATGAAGAAACACAAATATCGCAGCATCCTGATAAAAAAGATGAAATAAAAAACACAGGAAGAAAGAACTCTATTTTAGAGAAGAGCAGCCTTGTTTAAATATCATTCACATAGAGAAAACAGGTAGAATTTCATATGTTAAAACATGGTAGACTTGTGATGAGGCTTAATCCTGCCCTGTATACAGCACCACAAAATTATGTTAGGGATCAACTTGCAAATTGTTTTAGCATGGCTCCAATAACTCGTTTTAACTGTGTCCAATTAGTGTTGACAGCTTGGCCGCATTTGATTTAGAACATGGAGGTAGATGCATATGTTAAAATGAGGTTATTGAACTCTATTTAGAGAAGTTTTGCCCCATTTTCACTGAGCAGGCAGTTGAAAGAGACTTGCAGCTTCTTTTAAGAGGCCAAACACTGAAAGCTACATTAACATTACTGCTTAAATAAGGCAAACACAGTTATGGAAGAGAGTTCTTTCCTACAGAATATGCAGCTTTTGCCTTCCACTCTCCCTCCTGCAAGTACGTTCTAGAGGTGGAAGCTTTAGGCATCTACTTTCCATTACATCTAGAGTAACATTAGAGTAACATTTGCTTTAGGGGCATGCTTACTTTAAAAGCTAGCAGAAGCACAAGTTGTTTATACCTGGGTAAAAACACAATCAGAGCTTAAATTTAAGCTTATTTTCACAATATTTTTTACTGAATGCTTAGTAAAAAAAAAAAAAAAATCAATACATTTTAATACAGCCTTCCAGCTGAGTGTGCCAAAAGGTCAATCTATTTCTCACATGCCCCATAGCATATACATTCACTGTGATTCCTGGCACCACAGCTTCCCCGACTCTCTACAAAAAACTAATATACAAGTAGAAAAAAGCAAATGACACATCTAATCTTGTTGCATTAAACTACTCAATTAGCAGCATTTCAAATTAAAAATGAAAAGCTGGTTGGAATGGAAGACTCGCTCTCATTTCTCCAGTTTGTGCAGTATCATCTTCCTTAAAAGAGAAACTGATTATGGCCCTTAGCTGCAATGGCCTTCAGAGCCAGCAAATGAAAGTTGACCAGAGGGCAAGAAAACAGAAAGTTCTAGGAAACATCCACTTCCACAAAGGTCTGGGCCACCACCCTTAGGATGTGTTGCTCTGCTTATGCCACAAACTCTTTTGGCAAACTGCTTTCACACATGCTGTTACGCTCTTGTAAATTTTTGATGAAGAGTAGTGCATTTTGATGCTTTGTCATATATATAATTTCAACCTAGTAAGCTATTTTTAAGTCTAGTTCTACTGGAATTGGGTAAATAACTTTAAAGCACACTTCCTAAAGCCAAAGCGTCAACGTGTCAGTATGACTATCACTGTCAACTGCAAGCGTACGCACAATCACTTACACTTTAACTTCAAAAATGCTACAATTTACAGGGAAGGTCTGCTAAGCAAATTTTCCACCTGTACAAGTTATAACATGCTATATTTTAAGATGCCACACTTTTGGGAATTTGATACAGGAACGATAACTTTGGAAATTCAAGGAAATGATAATGCCCATCGCAGTGCTAAAGACCCTTAGGCAACTGTTATTTTGTACTAGGGACTATATCCATTGCATAAGTCAGTGATTTTAAACTAGTCAAGAGGCTACCATTTACTGAGGTAATAGCTTTTGCTAATCTGAGAAACAAAAACACTGCCCCTCAATTCACAGCATGGTATATTCGCTAACTTAAAACATAAGATAGAAATTAAGGGATCCAACTGCACCTACAATGTTCAGAGGGAGGAAAGCAGAAGGCAGAGTGACAAAATTGCCTCGTATAAGCAGAAGGTTGAAATATGAATCCTTATACATGGTACATAAATCCAAACCTATTTAAAAGCATAAGAATATAGAGAATCTGTTCCAAATCAACAGAACCATTCTAATGAAAATGCCAGCACTTGGGCAATTCCCCCACCAGAAAAAGCCCTGCACCGATGTGCAGGAGGTGTCCTTGCTAGGCGGTCACTTCTGCAGCTACTGAGAACATATCCACCAGCTGGGGGGAATCAGTGCAGCTCCACTAACTGTACCAGAAGTGAAGGCTGGAGGTCTGGCTTGTCTGAGATTCACTCCCCCTCCTCCCCTCTTCCCCAAGCCAGGAAAAGGATTTAAACCAGCCAAATATTTTATCTGAGATGACAGAAACTATGACACTTGAGAGATGCTAGTGATAACCTCTTGACAAAAACAGGATACCAAACACAAAACCGTAAGGATCCTACAACTAGTAAATCATGTGCACGCAAATGTTGCAAGACGAGCAATCCCAGCACCTCTTGGATGAGAGGGCGCTGCAAACTGTAACAAAATTTTCTGCCATGAGCGCTTCCTTATTGACCTTCCCGTCAGCGAGGCCCACACCGGGTATCTGCCTAAGACAGCTTCTCTTCTGACCCGTAAGTGTTAACAGTGACAGAGATGGAAATGCCTATGGCTGGCCGGGTCCCGTCCTTACTTCCAGCCTATCGTGGATGTGGCAGCTGGAAAAAGCAGAACCATATGTCGCCCTATGTTAAGGTAATTAATTACAAATGAAAGCCATGTATGTCTTTACATGATTTGTATGTGCCTTTACCCTATGTCATACAGCGCCACAGCAAGCAGAAAGACAAGCAGACTGGCGCAGCAAAGTGGTGTTTGAAAACCTCCTCCTTAAATGCAGTCTTCAACCCGTGCCCTTTGATGAAACAGCAACATACCACAAAGCCTACAGCACACCACATGCAGACTGTTATGAATAGACTTTTTATGAAGTAATTTTCTGCAGCTTATATATCCAATCGCTTATTTAGAAATAGCTTTCTCCAGGTCTAAAATTACTACACACAAGCTAATTTCCCTTGGTGCATTTAACTCTACTTCTCTTTACCACTCTGTAGCAGAGACACATATGCAGCCATCAACAGCAGCCCGCCAAGCACAGGAAAAGAAAGGAGAAATTTTTCTCTCAACTGAGAACCTGCGGGATTACCAGGCTGCAGAAGGTACACTGAAGTACTCAGTGAGAATAAGTACGCTTATTCTGACTCAGTAATTTCCCTTTGAAGGGCAATGCTACTATTTTACCCTTTCATTTTTGCATTCCCTGAAGCGGAAGCAGACCCTCGCATCTTAAAGAAAAGATGCTACCACAGATCTGCTCTCCCAGTTGTTTGGCAAGATGCAAAGGCTAAGTTATCATAACCTGCAGCCCAACAGCAGGGCCACTCTTCATTTTCCTTGTCTTATTTCTTATCCATAGCAGAACTACAGCTAAAATAATCAGAGAAGATAAAGCCACATAAAAAATGAATTTTGATATCAAAGGCACCTATGAAAGGCAAGTTCTTCCGCATGCAATATGGGAATGACTATTGCTTTTTCACTAAGCCATAAACAGCTATTTAAATATGTTAAGGATAGACAGAGTTTTAATTTACAAATAAATCATAATGAAATTGTCTTTTATTGGCTTCCATCTTGTACCTGCTAATAAAACTGCCCCACATGTGAAGTATCTGCAAATTCTGCATTGCTTGGATCTACAAGGCCTTTTCAGAGATTTTATTTTTTATTTTTTTGGCAAGGAAGATGCAAAAAAAACCCTGCAGATGTTAAATACACTGCAGAATTATTTATTGCTAGTTATGCCCACAGAAACAGTACGTATAAACCCCTTATCTTCTCTACTTCATTTTATTGAGGGGGGAACCCCCAGATAATAGGAGTGCCTAGAGCTAAGCAGACTGTTTGACCTAGTAAGCACAATCTGGATTTGTCAGATCAATTCAAACAGGCAGAAATAGTGAGGACTGTTTGACCTAGTAAGAAGCACAATCTGAATTTGCCAGACCAATTCAAACAGGCAGAAATAGTGAGGATGCAGTTTTGGGTCTAAGAGAGGCTGCAGCTCTGTCTCCACTGCACGTTCCCAGCTCTTCCTCCCCTCTGCTTGTGGCTGACAAGTACTCCTGTAGCTACCATGAGGAGCTATTTTAGAGAACCAATAATCATGAAAATAAGCATTGAGTGTTCATTTCAGACAGACCAATTGCCTGACTTGGAGCTCCCCATATAAATCTATGTTTACTCACGACAGCTCAAGGGCAGGAACGCAGCAATTGGGATGTGGGTCAGCTTACGCTGTAGCAAACGCCCACTGAAAGGGAAGGCTTTTCCACTCCTCTCTCCCCCTTCTTCCCCAGGTTAATGTGCAATGAGCTGATCACACAGGCAGATGAACAAAAGCAGCCTTGTGGCAGGAAGAAGTCTCACACGTTTTGGTGATGCTATTGCAGGAAGGCTCATTATCCCTAAGCACAGTTTTTATGAGATGCAGACAAAATACTTTCTGTAGAAATTAAACTAGTCACAGCATGAGAGCAACTGAACACCGATAAACAATGCTTACAGAGCTCACTTTTGCTTTACTTGATAACATTCCTGACAGCAGGATCTCTCACACATTCTTCACTAAATTTTTATAGTTTATGGATTACATTACCACAGATTCTGCTTTCACAAGGGCACCACCACAGGAGGCACTGAAATCCCAAGCTACTAGCAGCATCGCGCCGCTGCTCTGTGAACGCACCCATCGCTTGGGGAAGGCAGCAGCCACAGGGCTGCCCTGGCGCAGCCCGCACAGGGTGGTCTCCTCGGCCTGGGGCAGAGGAGCTGCTCACATCAGGCGGCACCACCACAGCCAGGCCCACCCTGTCACCCCACATCCTCTGTGCCTGCTCCTGGATGTCACTGCTAATGTTTCAACCCTGAGTAAGCCATGGTAGGGATGTAAAATTCTAGACATGCCCACTTCCCTCCAAATAAGTAGACCCACAACACATACTCATACCAAAAAAAAGGGAAAAGTTTATGCTAGTTCAGCTGCCCAAAGGGGAGAGAAACACAGATGTTGCAGTAAAGGGAGGGGTGGAAATAAGGAATAATGGACAAGAAACCTTTTGGCAGAGGCTATAACATCAGAACAAACTCTGAGAAGCAAAGCTAAAGCCACCACAAATCAAACCCACTAGGAAAAATAATTAGGCTACATTCATTTTGGACTACATGAAATCTACTTTCAAAACATAACATGCAGCTTAAACAAAAGCACAGAAGTAAATCATCATAAGTTAGCCAGTCTGTACTGTAGAACAGAAAGAAAACCTGTTGCTGTAGCAGCATACAAGTAATCACAAAGGGAACAGTGTCAGAAACGTCAAATTTTACCCAGAATCTCCAAATAGTATGTTCAAGAACAGAATAAATAGCTCTGGTCATAATTATGAAAGTTACACATATGTTCTTTCTGCTCAGTGCACATGCTGCAACATCAATTCACTTCTGTTTTCCAAGAGTCTACAAAAGTGATAGCACTCAAAAAGCAGCCTAATAATATCAGTTTGCCTAAAGCACCATTGACAACACAGGCAATGGGCTTCAGGAGCTGGCATCATTACGCTGGAGTCTTACAAAGAGTAGGCCACAAATTAATCTGAGCCAGGCTCACAACTGAAACTGCCACCTCCAGGATGCTTGATGACTCGAGTGATACCACTTGGTGGTCTCAGTTTGGTTCTGAAAGAGTCAGTATTTATTACTGCAAAAAATACAACTGCATCTGAGATGAAACAGATAAAGGGTTACACTGATGTGAAATTCAGAGTAGATCACAGCTGTTCAAAACAATTGGACTTTTTCTTGGAAAAAGCATCTTGAAAGTCAGCTTAAAGTTCTAAAAACTTTTAACAGTAACTGAGCGCATCTCAGAATGTTAGTATGCATGTATAAGCTTTCTTTCCATGCAGTTTCCTTCTCATGCTTTTATTATATTTTTCCAGAGATGGTAACTTCTAAGGCTGTTACGGCTAGAACCTCTTTATCAACTTAGTACCGCAAGCTGGCTCCTGTCTCTGCCCCGGTGAATCATGCAAGTCAAAGATGACTTCAAGGTCTAGTATCAGGGGATTTTATACTAAGTCATGCACAATGTAATGAATTCATAAAAACACAGAATGTAAGCATATTTTTTTCTTTATGTATCATTAAATATTATACAAAATTAAAAAGAGGAATGCAGTTCATTTTAAAAAGCAGACACTAGAATATGTGGAAAAACAAGCAGCTGAGGGACAGTCTACAATGAACTTTAAGTTATATAGGTTGCATGAAAGAGCACAGGTTTTCCTGTAAGACAGCTCCCTGCTTACCACAGAGCCAGCAGCTACAATTTAACAGGCACTGCATCCCTATCTACAGGGAATAGAGTTCCACTGCTTCAACTCTTTGGTATCTTATCTCTTCTCTACAGCTTGCAACATGCACCTTTTGAGACCTCTTCTCTCCAATCCTGCTGCTGATTTGGTCCAGATTCTTTAAAGAATAAGTTAAAAAATAATAAAAGCTTTAAAGTGACACCTGACGAATCTAAACAAACAGCCAATCTGGTAATACCTTTATTATGACACAGCTGCACCTGCACAAAGCTCTGCCTACTTGCATGCAAGAATACTCCTATTCCTTAACTCGGATTCGCTTTGCAGACCATAACTGCATTCAAGACTCAGTTTTACTTAGTTGGCTACAGTGTTCATTTTGAGTTAGAGCGGTGGCATACAAGGTCAGTTCACATAATGTATAACTTAACAAAAGTTAAGTTACATTTAAATTAAAAAAAAAAAGTTAAAAGTTACTTAACAACTGTTACGCACAACAAGCAATCATTTTGTTAGAATTCTGTCATGATTAGTCACGCTCACCTCTTTATCCATACTCTCTAAATCCTCTTTACATAGGGTGTACAGGGGCATAGTCTCAGACATACTTGGCTGGCGTTTCCGCTTAGATGGGCCTGGCTGCTCTTCGTTCTCATTTGCTGGTAACTCTTCTTCTTCTTCAAACATCTGCTGCTGATGTGGTTGAACAACTCTGAAAAATTTCAGGGGTCCCGCATAAGAAAAAATTACTTCACCTATAGTTTGTCTAGAAATCAAATTCTATACACAGCTTATGACAGCTGAATATGACTTTCCTTAATACTGCTACAGTCTATGTTCAGCAAGCAAGAGAGCAAAGATCAGGTCTCCCAATGGCTGCTTTTATTTTCTGTCTGATGGCTTAAATTTATATTCTACCTTTGGCTGGGTACTCCTCTCCTGACTTCCCATTATTCCTGCAAGTAACTATCAAACCTTTTTGAAGTCAAGAGCTTCAGTAGCTGGAGATGTACTTCTCCTACAATACTTCAAAGTTGGTACTCAAATGGAGTTTGTCTGTCACTTGACAAGTTCATCATTTATGACAATTCGTGTATTCTAAGAAATGTTTCTTGACCGATGTGATACTCATGTTCCTTAGATTCACAATCTCTCTCTCCAACTCTCAACTTCACAGATAATAGAAGATTTTTCAGCAGACCTAGAAAACTCATTTCTACAATCTCAATCTTCAGTCTTTTCCTAAATGCTAAGCCTCGTTGAGATGTGAAGAGACCCTTTTCTGGCTACTGTATTCAGATACGGCTCTGTTTTTTCTTTACTTTTCTTTTAAAAATTGAACCTTACCACCTCATTAGTTCCTGTGTTTAAGCAGAATATGTAGATACAAAAGCAGTGGCAAAATAGTATTTGGAATGGATTAGATACAACAACTTCCAAGGAACTGCTGTAAAACAGTAACGAAAAGAGTCACAATATCTAAAAGCATAACAGGAAACTCATCGCTCTTAGGTAACATTTCCACCATTAAATATTTCTAAAATCCTATTTGATAAGCCCAAGCCAAAATTGCTCTGCAGCACAGCTAACTGAACACGTAATGCGCTGCCGCCGCCACCACCACACGGGACACGTTACTGCAGCTCAGCACCGTGCAGGGCCCTGTAAACAACCCCAGGGTGCACAAAGCGCTTTTATTGTGGTAGCCATGAGCGGGTGCACGTGGGGTGTGATGACCAACACCAGCTGTGACTCAAGCCATACACCTCTTTGGGCTGTAACCACCAGGTGAGGAACATCTGCTTTTACTGTGGTAGCCATGAGAGGGTGAACGTGGGGTGTGACGACCAACACCAGCTGCGACTCAAGCCGCGACTCAAGCCATACACTGCTTCGGGCTGTAACCACCAGGTGAGGAACATCATGGAGCCAGGCCCCTCCAGACAGTGGGGGAGATGCAGCAGCAGGCAGCGTGGTCTCAGCTACGAGGGCAGCACGGCCCCTTCTCACCCAGTGGGGACCTTCCGGCAGCAGCTTTCAGGCAATTATCCTCCCCCTGCCACCCACCAAAGCCACCCACAAACTTCAGATCCTTTAACGACAGGTAAGACCAGTCACAGGCCAGTTCTTATTGTTTCTGCTACTGCAAGCTTAAAAGCTTCTCAAGAGGGCCATCCAGATACCATTTTCCCCCCTATATCTGTTTTTCAAACACATAATTCACAAGCCATATTAAGTTGTCAACTGGCCTTTCTTTAGGAATCCTATTTCCTGAATACACATCCACCCTCGCAGATCCCCTGCATAGGTGTAAGAGACAGGAATTCATTTTTCAAATGATGGGGGGAAAAAAGAGAGGGAAATCACATTAGTGAGTTGTGGGGGGGAAATCATGTTATATGCAATGGAAGATACTTGTCAACTCAGCACTATTTTGCAGTGCAGCACAATCAGCGCACTTATATTTTAACATTTCTGGATGCTGGGATTTTCTATGGAGCCAAAAAACAAATCAAATGTAGTGAAAATAAACGAACTAAACTTATTTTTCCATTATAAATATTTCTTTTAAATCACAGCCTTTTCCCCCCCTCATTCAAATGTTTTTCCATTTCACATTTTTCTTTTTCTGTTAAACCCCTCAGACAATAATTTTCACACCTATAAGGGGGAAAACCCCACAGTATTACACTGTATTTTTTCTAGGGATCTTTAATTACTCTATTTTCATAATTTTTTAATATCCTAGCCAAGAGACAGTGATTTAAATTCTTAGTAAAACAGAGAATGATAACACACAAGGTATAAGCATCTTACGCTACTGTATCAAAAACACGACAAGGTTGACTATGTCAAGAATTTTACACTTAAGTTATATATAGCAGGGAGCTAAGCAGATTTTGTTAAAGTTATATATTTTTTTTAAAAGAACATATCATACGGATGACAGTGAGAACTTCTCTTTTTGCAGTTTCTGTGTAGTCGTATTTATACTCTTATTTTGAATATTGTAGGAAGATTATCATCTTTAATTTAAGTTATAACAAAGGCAGGGATTATTTTCCACCACAATTAAATGAAAATTGTAATGACAGTTTAATTTCAAAGCTACTGAATAGCAGGCATAGCTGTGAAGTTCTATATTCTGAAGCAGTAACATGCAGAAATTCAAATCAAGCTGAAGACTCCATCAATGATATAAGTTAAGACTACATGGAGAGGTGTAATTGTTGCACACGCTGGTTGTATTACTATAAAAAGACACATACATGTTTTATTTGTATTGATATACTTAAGACTATTGTCAGATTTTTTTCCCAGCATTTTCCAACTACTACTGGTTAAGAAACACTGGGACTTCTCAAAGCATACCAAAGTAGAAGATAAAATAAACAAAGACTACTGCAAAGTTTGTAACAAACATTTTTATTTTACCAAAGAGGTTTTTCAACTGCTTGTTACACTGATCCCAATCGAAAAGACATACAGAGGCTGCAATCGTCACGCTTCTCTAATGGGAGGAGTTTCCTCGAGGGTCACACATACTCTGGCGAGGTCGGCTGGCACTCGCCCACCTCACACGTGTGGTGACGCACACGAGTGTTAACACTGACCACCCATGGGCTGGGTGCGACGCCCGGGGTAGTGACAAGCATCTTACTTTGACACCGGGTAAGGGCAAGAATTAAAATAGTCCTGTCACCATGGCAGTCTGAAGAGTATTTGAGGCCCAGGAATCACTCGGAATACTTTGTTATTTTTTGTAGTCAAATTTGATAACATTAGGCAGAAAAAGTGTAACACTGAGCATGTAAATTAAGATTTGAAACTGTACAAGTGAAATTAGATAATAAGAAACTCAAAGAATTTTCAGACACCAGTATCACGAGCCACCTGTTGCAACTATTGACGCCTCTTAATACTATCTAAAACCACAGCGCTTCTTTTAGCTTCTTACATGTACATTACACTCATTTTATCAACTTTTCTTCATCTCTTACTGAATTAATAGCATTTACTAAAAACAAACCTGCAAAATCATTTTTTCTTCGTTCTTTTACAAGATGCTATTTGCATCTCTTTTCATGGACAACACTGAAATACTGCATCTCATGAATTATCATCCATTTAGACTGAAATTCCCAAGACCAAAGCAAGTGTTCTTGGAAGTCTCATGGGTTCAAGTGCAACATCAAGACACTAAAATCAGTTTCTAAATCAGTTGCTCTCTTGAAACCATCTTCAAAGCAAAAAATATTTAGCCCAACATGAAATTATGAGAACTGACACAGACTTATATTGTACTCAAAATATGAAGCTCTTTTCAGCAACGCATCTTGTGGCAGGTTATGCTCTAAGCACAACAAGGGCTACTCTTACAGTAAGTCCCAGCATCATTGTTACTGTTTCTTCAAGGGTTTCTTCACACGGCAGTGCAAGTCTGTTGATCGTTGTCTGAAATGTAGATAAGTGTTTTTTTTTTGTTTGTTTGTTTTGGAGATTAACAAATTATTGTAGGCTTTCACCAGAAAAAGAATATTTTGACTAGACACCCACAAGAGGAATCAGAGATATTATTCTAATCTTGTTTAATAAAGTATACTAAAGATTTTAGGAGATAGTTATTTTAAAATACCTACACTTGCAGGCAGGCTTCTGTCAAAAAAAAAAAAAGAAAAAAAAAGTGCCCATAACAAAAGACAGAAAAAAATATTCTTTTAGATAAAAGAAATCAGTTCCTATTTACATTGCTTCAGATTTTAATATGGCAGCATTCATTTTGCATCCAAAAGGACATGGCAAACTGAAAAGCCGAAACTTTGGTTAATTTGTATATAAAAAGTGTTTGCTAAAGCTTTCGCCCTTCTCCCCTGCACTACATTAAGAGCCTGGCGGAGTTGTGAGCAGTAAATGCTGTATCCACCTGTGCTGAAATTCAATGACTGCATTAAAAGTTTTGTCATCTTTCTGAAGGAGGTGAACATATGAGCAGAAAATCTCTCAGGCCACAAAATGTATTGCCTTTTACTAAGAAATTGCTACATTAAGGTAGTTCTCTCTTGAGTCAAGCACCACGTCAGATTTAAAATTGACTCAACTCATGCTCAGCTGATGCACAGAAAAACTGTTCACATTCATTCTTTGTTATTTATTCAACCGCCCTCGTGCTCTGCATTGTGCTAACTATAAATCAGAGAACTTAAAGCGGGTTTTGGTTGCTGCTTTCGTTGTAGACTTTACCAGTATTTTCTTCACGTTAACAACCAAACTTAAAGACAGCTTAAGTGCTCTGAGGACTCTACTAACACACTTCAATTTAGAAATCAGGGTTTACAGGTCAGTCATTTTACTGCTTGAAACAAATAAATAGACAAAGACTAAAAGATTATTACCCAATGTAAGAAAGGGAACTAGTTTAAGACTTCTGCCTCATTATGTAATGAAGCTGCAGCATTAACTAACAGGATTCAATTTCTTAGATTAAATCATCTGACCTGAACACTCACAGGCAAAAAAAAAAAAAAAAAAAAAAAAAAAAAAAAAAAAAAAAAGATTTTTGTCAACATACATTTTCATCACTTTTTGACAGAAAAAGGAGGAACAGGCATTGAAAACTATGCTTTCTAAAGTATTGAAAGATGCGTTTATACGAACACGAACCATCACACTGATGCCTCTTACAAGAGTCAAGTGACAATTACACATGCACAAAGTCTCCCCATCTCTTAACAAATTCCCTTTCTCAATAATTGGCAAACAAAACAACAACAAAAAACTTTTCAGCTCCTCTGGATACTGGCTTTGACTTGGCTATTTAAATATTTTTTTCCTGATCATTAAACACGTCACAGGTTTTAGACAGAGTTAAAAAAAATGAAAACAGAAAATATTAAACAAAGACTGGAGAGGAAAAAAAAGTAACGCTGAAATAAGAAAAAGCCTTGAAAAAGTCCAAGTAGACTGGAATAACTTTGCCACAGCAAGATACAGAAGAAACACAGCAAGATATGCTATGCACTCAAAACTTTTACAATATGAGTGATAAAACTGACGGGGAACAAAGATGAAAGTAGAAAACTGTGTGTGTTTACACTTGTGCTTTGTATTTTTGAAGTTACTTTGGAGATTGAAATGCTCTGTAATAACTGCCATAGTCTGATCAAATTTTATTACAAAACAAGCTACAACAGGATTCTTACTTTTCTTTGTCACTGCTGTCTGCAAGATTGGCTGAAGCCTTAGCAAGCCGTCCAGACTAGATCTCTTATACGGTGAATTCTGAATGCATTTTAGAGAAAGATTTCATGCATCCAGAAAGCAGACCTGCTCCTCTTGCTTTAGTGTCATGATTTAGTGATCAAAGGATTACTACGTAGTATTCAATTTTATGTTATTTAATAGTACTTGGTTAGCTACACTCCTGCCATTGCTTATATTCCTCAAAGTAAAACACAGGAGTAACCTCCCATCTGAAAAGTAATTAAGAGAAAAACTTTACAAACAAAACCAAGCAGTACCAGATATATTTTAAAAAATAATATATTGGATTTAAGAGATATCAGCCTGCCTCACCTGGCTGTGAGTATAAACCCACCAAAAAATAAATGTAGTGTGAAATCTGTTATATGCTCTAAAGCATAAACTCAAACCTTAAGTGTGGCACAAAGAATCTAGAAGATTAAGTCACTGATTTCACTAAAGCTAAATATTCACTTTTAGTCATTTCCTTAGGCTGAATATTACAAATCTATTTTCACAAAGTAAGCAGGAAAAAAAAAATAACCCTTAAGTCAAGATGACAATCTGATCAAATGCAAAAATATCATCAGTTAAATTTAAAAACCAACATGTGCAAACATAACGAACGTGACACTTAGCTACGCCTTACGTACCTGAAGGAGGAGTGTTCCCCGTGGACTGGCAAGGTGAGGGGTGGAGCTGGAGCCTGGATGTACATGGCCTGGCCGGGGGGCGGCGAGCCTTTCCGGATCAGCTTGCCAGTGTTGGGGTCATAGAGGCGAACTTCAGGGCCGGGCTGAGACCTGGGGTGGATGGGCGTTGGGTGGAACAGAGCAGTCGGGAACGTGCTGTGCGCATCAGGGAATGTGGCAGGGCTGTTCTCTCTGGTGGATAAAGTTTGGAAAAAAAAAGATTTATCAGTTTAAATACACTGTCTTTAACCAGCATGGAGGATGATTGGTATTTCTTTTCTCTAAAGGGAAAAATAGGGAGGAAGAAAAAAAAAAAAAAAAAAGGTGAAAAATTTCTTTGGAAATTTTCCCATCTCTTCCATCCCACCATGAAAATATCACTGAATTTAAAACACAAAAATGCAAATGTCATACTTGCATCGTTTTAAAAAAATAATTAAAGATACCTTAAAATAGCCTTAAATATAAAGTTACTGAAGTTGCTTCTGGGGATATTAAATACATAGTTAGATTAGCATGATCATCTGCATATATGCTACTAACACAAAAGCATGCTTTTGTATAGAATCTAAATGCATGCCCTTCAACACAACTGAGAAAAAATTATTATATGGCATTAATTTGCAAATCATCCAATTCATTTGTCAGCATACTAAAGCATTTTTAAATCACAGTTTTAGAAGTGCCAATAAAAACACCGAGATCAGTCTGCTGAAGTCACCACTATGGCATACTATGCAATTAAGATAAAAGACCGCAAAAAGAAAAAAGAGAAAATAAAATCATTAAAAAAAAAAACAGTCACAAAAAAGAATGCAAACACACTACGAAAACAACAGTATAAGGAAAAAAAAATCAAGTACACTGAAACAAGCATTAGAAGTACCACAAAACTGAAGTTTTTCACATATGTTTTCAAGGACTACCTTTCTCAAATAGTATTGCAAAAAAAAAAAAAAAAAAAGAAAAAAAAAAAAGAAATTTAAGGTCACCAATTCCAAGCTTACTTAAACCCTTCAACTCATTTTATACGTAACATTCTTCCGAGTTCATCCCTTACCTACTTCACAAGTGTTCTGCATCAACAATTGCCATTTCAAACAGATTGATAAAGGGAAAAATCTTTTACAAAGAATTTGCACTTCAGGTTAATAAAATAAAAGCTTCTGCATTTTTAAGGTGTCCTTACTGACTTCAGTTTTTGAGGGGGAAAGTGTACAAAGCTAAAGGTAAACCGTATTTAAAACAAAGAAGAGGAAAAAACATCATTATGCCTAAGGTGAAAGGGAAGAGTAAATTAGAAAAAAAAAGACACCAGGATGAACATTCACCCAAAAGGATGCTTGCAGGTCAATGTAGAGACTCCTACTAGAAAGCTTACAGTCCGGAAGTACCACGCGTTGTGGTAAAAATAGTAATTAAAAAAAAATCCAGTAACACTTTAATAAAAACATAAAGTGTTCTTAGTCAGGTCATAAGTGAATTACTTTTCTTCCTAAGTTTTAGGGATGCTGGGTCTCTTTCTACTTTCCCATTCAATCAGTAATCTCATTTTCAGATGTTTCTACTTTTGGTGCACTTTTGTGTGTTTCATTTTGCCCTCCGTGGGATGGCTTCCTTCAAGCAGAAAGCAAATCTTTAGCAAACATCTAGCTTATTCAGTCACTCAGTAACATGCATTAATTACTTTATTGCAGAAAATCTAATATACTATGTACCTCCCTGTTCAAACCTAGAAGTAAATAGCCTCTGCTAGGCTTGCAGGGTGCTATTATGCAAATCTATTAAAACAACTCAAGGAGCAAAAAAAGCTGAGCCTATACTATCTTACAGTAAGTTCTTTTAGCCATTGTCCTTCCTAAAGCAGATTGCTTAGGAGTCCTTGATAGCCCTTAGCAGCCCTTGACTTTCCCTGTGTTCATATCATTTTTGACTGTGATTTCTACGTGCTGCCTTTCTACCGCCCTCATTTTTCATCCTTTTTCCTTCAACTCTTCGCACCCCAAAACCTTCATGTGCTCTCTTACTACTCTCTGTCCCCATAAGTTGCTTCCAGTTTTTGCTCTTCTTTATGCCTTCCACCCCAGTTGCTTTTTGCTTCTCTGGCTTTCTATTTCTCCCCATTGCCTTACCACTGGGACTCAAAAAATCCTACAGACTTCAGCTGTAACCTCCCCACCAGCCTCATTTGGCAGAATGGATGATGCTCCTGCCCCTTGGGAGCATTCCTTGTGCTTGTGGGGTTAACTGATCAGCTGAGCTCTTTCTCATGAATACTGCTAACAAATGCAACTGCCAAAGAAACTGAATCCTGCTCGCTGCTGAACTGCCTTCCAGCTCTTGGCCGTATTCAGCTTAAGTTGCACAGGAAAGGAAAAAAACAGACGGGTTCTTTCATAAAAATCTGCAAACATCATACAATTCCTGTCTTGTTGGTTAATTTGATTTTGCAGCTGCAGTAACACAAAGTATTTGGTTGTATGAACAGCCTATCTTCACGTCCCCCATTCCTCTAAGCCCCCATTTACCTGTGTGTTTTGTTGTAGTCATCCTTCAAGGGAAAAAGCTGTTCCTCAACCTTGTCCCACCGCTCCAAGCAGCTCCAGAGCCAGTCAGGATTTACCACATGGAGGTCTTTACAGTCCTGAGCTTGTCTTACTTTTTCTGTGCCTATTATGAAGTCAAGCACAATATTACAGTGTTCCCAGATACAGAAAAGGCAGTTTTAGGTGCACATCAGTTTTGTGACCAATCTTAAAGAGACAAGCCCCCCCCCCCCCCCCCCCCAACACACCCAACAAGACAAAGCCAGCTGATAAGACTGAGACACTACAGAGCACGTGAAGTCCTTCGTCTCAAGCTGGGTGAAGGCATTTGCTATTTGCTGACGCGCTAAAACCAGAAGGAATTCTGCTCAAATTAATTCTGGTGGAAACCCCCTACATTTTCCTGTTAGCTAAACAAACAGAAGTGCATTTTTTTTTCTTATTTCATCTTCATTTAGATTTATTTGACTCTCATAAGAAACAACTCCTCACTGCTAGTGCTTCACATACTAGCACACCACACCAGCTCTCCTATGCATATTCAGGAGATCTGCTGCATGCACGGGCCACTGTGGTGCAGCAGTTAACGGGCCACTCAGCTTGGCGTAAGCCAAGTCAAAGCAGACACAGGATTACTTAGCACCAAAGGGGAACAAGGATTATTCTGTTATGCAGCATATAGCCATGGCAGGCTAGTGTGAAGTCCTCATGAAACCATGAGCAGAACAACGTGACAGCAGACAGGATCTCAAGTTCTACCTTCTGAGGGAAACTAGTGGAGAGCAAACACCACTTGGTCAAGAAGCGTCATAACCAGTGAAAAAACAACAACCAATAAAATAGAAGGGGGAGTTAACTTTGCTTCTCAGAAACAACTCACTGTCCAGGAATTGCTACAAAAGTGTTCTCAGTGTTGTGCCTGTATGACATAGTATGTACGCAGTATATCTCTACATATAGTGTTTACATTGTATCAGAAAAAAAAATACCTAAAAGTCAGTACTGCCGGTATTATACAAAAATCTTGGCGTTACCTGCTGCACACACTTATATAAAACCACAACTTAACAGCCCAACAGTCCAGATTAATTTACCCTACTTGCCTAGAAATTACTCAAACAGTTTTGAAGTATTAAAATTCATTACTTAAAGCTATGACTTACAAATCTTACACATGTCCTTCATCAAGAAGGAAGCCTCAATAGGGAAAAAAAAAGAACAATTCTGACAAGAAGGTAAGCACAGTAGTTTCTATGTCACATATTTAAGTTCAAGAGGACAGAAATTAATTTGATGGCTTCAGCATCATTTCCTGGAGTTTAATCTGCAGGACCACCATTTAACAACATAACTTTTTTTAAAATCAAAAATTAAAGTTTTGACTTCCTGTATTTCCGCACATCCGCACCAGCGGTCAGCAGTACTACTGAACAGCCTATATAAAGCCTGAACTTGGATCTGCTGGGGGAAGGAGCTCCCCTGCAGTTCAGGGAAGGACGGAGCTGCCTGCTTAGACGATTCAGCCACTAGACTTGGGCAGCTTCACCTCACTAAGCGGAAGGTAAGTTAAGGGGATCACCTTCCTCCACAAAGCCATGGAAGCTCCTGCTTCCCTCCTTGGCTTGCTCAATACAACCCCCCTGTCCCACAGGAACAGGGCTACTTTCTTTCCCAATGCAAATAAATCGAAATCAATGAGAAAAATTAAGAACAACATTTCTTAGAGACGTGCTGTGCATATACACTTGTTTCACATTCAGCAGCAAAACCAAACAATTTTGCAGTTAAGGAATAAGAGTTAAACAGAAAATTTAATACTTTTCTCCACACAAATATCTTCGTAAATAAAAACAGCTGTTAAATTAAGATATCATGAAGATGCTTAATGAAGATAAACTGAGTATTTAAAAATGAAGTTGCAAGCCACAAACAACTTAGAAATGCTGTATTTTAAGCTCTGTTGTGAAGTAAGAATACAAACACCGCCCAATAAAAACTCATTAGAAATATTAACCTTAGAAGTGCAATAATGTTCATGCCAGCACATATTTGCTGTTCAAGAGATCATGACTGGCTAAAAAGCAAAACTCTTGCAGACATCTCTGGAAGGTTAGCACACCGAGATTGTTCATTCCCCCTTCATGGAAGAAGTGTTTTCTAATTATTCTTCAGTTACAGAAACAATTAGTAACTTGGACCACTTCCATAAAACATCACCTACATTGTCAGAGGCTGCTTCCACAGAAAGCTTTTACATGTTTTTTATTTTTTAAGTTTAGTAGGAAGTGTAGGGATGTCTGCTATTAGAAACAGTTCAGTGCAAAGTTCTATTTAATTCATACTTTAGATGTTTCTGAAGAAAGACAGAGGTAAGAAAGGAGAATCACATTAACAGAGCTGGGGAAAAAGGATTAAAGAGAAATTAAAAATAATCGAATGAAAAATAAGAAAATAAATGATAATATAACATGAACAAAGAGGTGAGAAGATAGCCATTTTGCAAAGGGTGCTGAGATCAGGTTCATAAGCACGAAAGTTATAGGAAAAAAAGCAACAAAAAGAAATCTAAAAAAGCTCGCACCTGTATAGGTATTAGATACCAAATAAAGCTTCAGTCATGACTAGCAATAGTATCCTGAAAAAAAAGACAGCTCTGGAGCAGACTAGAATACAATGCGCAATAGTTACAAGAAGGATTTCACAATCCCACAGAGTGCTTAATCTTTATTTGCTTGGTGCAGATAGACTCTATTTTGAATGTCCGAAGAAGAGTCATCCGATTTCCTGCTACACTTGTTTAGTAAAACCATGCAGTTTGTCCAACTAAAGATATTCCTGCTCCTTTTGAACTCCATTGCGAGGAACCTAAACGAGAGCTAGGAAAACACACCTTTACATCTTTTTAAGTCTGGGTAGTAGTCCAACCATTTTTAAAATAGAAGTTTTTAATCTATGCTAAAAAGATTACATCTGATGTAGCAAAGAACTGAAGCATCCAGACGGCTGTAAAAACTAGAGATATTTCGTTTTTTCTAAAACTATGTTTGCAGTACTGTCCTCCAATCACCTTTCTCTATTATCAAATTCTAGGCTAAAATTGTTCCAGAAAGTTAAAACGCACACATGCTTTTTAGATGAAGAAGTTAAGCTCTAAGTTTAATATATTTGCCTTCTGAGGGGGTACAGCTAAAAGTACATACGATTACTATTACTTTCAATATTTATAACTGGCAAAAGAGGAGACAGCTTAGCCTCCCCCTCCCCCCTTTTTTTTTCCCTGAAATACAGTCCCCTTCTATAAGGAACATGGAATCTGAAACTGTTGGTTTGCAAAGTTCCCTGGACCTAATGAAAAGTTTTGTGCATCCAAACACAACTATGTCACACAGATAATTTTACAATCACACATGCGAAATTACGACACATGTGCAAAACAAACAAAAAAAATGTTTTTGATTCTTAGGGAAAGCGTAACATGGTATTAACTGAGGCATAACAAAACCATCCAAACTATTCACTCTTCCCAGGTGCACGAAGCCTGTGACCATGACCACTTGCCCCCATAAAGAAAAAACAAGCAGTGCCCAAACAAATACAAACCAATCAACCAAAAACACATCCCAGGAGCAAACGCAGAAAGAACCCTCCACAGAAATGGTCGGGGTCAGGACTCACCAACTCTTCTATTAGACACAACTGCCTTCTGCAGCCTTCTTCAGGTCATATAATTTCACTGCAGCAGTTTGGCTTATCCACAGCATGAACTACACCAGGCACTTAAGCAACATGGGTAATTGAGACCTAAACTTGATGGATAAGACGACCAGAAGCAGCGCTATAATACATATTTTACTACATCCACATGAGCGCACAGCACAGCCAGACAGTGAGAGATGCAGAGCAGGACAGCAGAGAATTGATGCCCGCATCCTACACGTTTCGGAGTTTTGCTTTTGGTCCTGTGGGCTGGACACTCAGGAGCACCCACCAGAGTGATCCTCCAAAAAGGAACCTGGCTTGCAGGCTGGAGGTGGCACCACAAGGACCCAAACTACTTCAAGAGGAGCAACCAGAAGATTCATTGCAAAAGCATCCTCCCCATTCCAGTGTATCAGAATCAACATATCTTTACAGCAATGTGCAACTAGGCTACTCAGTATTTTTTGAAAAAAGCTCATTTCCAGAAGTTCATTGCTCTTCATACCTTTTTTTCTAAACAAGTCTTCCTGCTTTACGGTCAAATCCTGAAGCTTTGCTTCAGCAGTATTAACCTAATAAAAATCCTACAGACTTCAGTGTTTCGTCCTACAAGACTTTGGTGAACTGCCCCAATCACTTCAAGTGCTAAATCCTCCTCTGTCTGACTTGACACTGATTTCTGCTGTTATTTCATCTGGTAGGTTTTGCCTCTCCTCACATCCCCAAAGGAAAGAGCATTTACCCCACACCAGTTTAAGAATCTGTAGTTTCCTGCAGGCCAACTAATACACAGTTATCACCTAGGTGAACTTGTGGGGCTGAGTCCTAGCTCTGCTGTGGTTAGTGGTGTCACCTGGAAATGCCTTGTCACAACTGGAGGGTGGGAAGGAAGGGACAGAACAACACGGTTCAGCCCTCCCACAGGAGCTAAGTCACCAGCTTACAAATACATCTAAGCTATTCCATGCTCTTCTCCTTTCACCAGCAACTAGACACACTTCAGCTGCTTCCCACAGGGGCCAGAGATGTGATACTTCATGGTCTACCTGCATTGAAATACCTGTAGAAGTCACCTGCTACCTGATAAGAGAGACTGAGTATGAAAATTGTGCTGACAGCTTAATTATCCTACCAGCTGCTGTCACAGCACCCAAGTTACACCCTTAAAATCTTTGATTTAAACGCAGTGCTGTCCTCCTAAAGCAAGAAGATACAACACTACTACTGCCATTGAACCAGAGGTGGGGGAAGGCAACCTTCGGTTGCTCAGCCTCCCCCACCAACCCCGAACCCACAACACACGCTGTCTATAAGCATCTTTCAAAAGAGGCTAGTGAAGTATGTATTATTTCACTCTAGACTTCTCTACTGCCACTATTACGAAAAAAAAAAAAAAGGTGTTACTTAATAATGATGAAAGATGACAACAGTCTCGCTCATTAGGCTGAAAACGTGGCCAATTAAGGGAGCTTTTTCAGAACACGTCAGTGCGATTCTTCTCTTATGGCAAGGGAGAGGTCGGCTTCCCAACGCTGCCGAGAAAGGCCTGTCGTCCCAAAGTGCAGGAGTTGTATTCTGCTTGTTTCTACTCGTGATCTCTAGCTTTAATTGGCTGTCTACGTTCAAACAGATTTTCCATTAAGTATCAAACGCAATATCTCAACTATATAACTATTCTGAGAAAATTCCAAGTCTCAGTAAAAAGTTAGCAAAAAATGTCATCCACCCTATAATTTTTAATTTTGATATATGTACCAAAAATTAATATTCAAAGTGTTAATAAACTTAAACATTATAAAAGCATAATATCATTAAAGCCTAAAGTTAAATCTATTATTCAGACTAATGTCTGACAACAGTGGTTGATTCATTGAGAATGGGCAGGCAGTGAAGAATTGGCTTAGAAAGCAGAACACAATGTATATATTTATATGCACATGCACACACGCCCATAACAAAACTGTACAGGCCAGAAACAAGCAACTGCTTCTCATCATTATACACTATATAGCTTATCCTAACTTTGAGTAATATTTTTTCTTTGAGAAGTGGGTGCGCGTGTGTGTGTGGAGGAGGAATTACATTTATGCTTACAATTTTACTCCACAATGGAATAGATGCACCCCATGTACATCAACACAAAGGAACTATCTGGTGCAAGACAGACCGTAAAAAAGCCAGGAAACTTAGTCTGCTGGGCACTTATGACTAAGAGATTGCTTTTGCCTCCTGCTAAAACCATATTTTTCTTTCTATGCTATAAGAAAGAAAAAAGCAAACTCATGAAAAATATTTTATTCACAAGGTTGGAATTGCTACACGTCATTGAAAGATCAACTAGATGAATACTTTGAGGCAAAGCAACTTTGAAATGAAGCATTTTAGGATCTGAAACTTGAATGACTGAAGAGCCACACCGAAGTCATACTGACAAGCACCGCATCCAGTTAAGTATGACAAACTTGAAGGATTCTTGGATGATAAAATTGATATTATTGCAGTTTTGAAAGAAAAAGCAAATGTGAGGTGTTAAACCTAACAGAGGTATCTGTTTTGTACACTCTAACTCTTCTGTAGTTGTTGAACAGCTATTTCAACTATCACACCTTCCCACGTAGAACTCCCAAATGTTTTCAGTGAAGGTAATCCAAATAACCCCAATTTCATCTGAATTTAGGCGATATTTTGACTAACAGCATATTATCAACAGCCAAAGAATTAACACAAACTTATTAATTCACCGCTGGTTTGTCAGTACAGTTTTTATTCCACTATGAATTGGCTGGAACAATATTGCACTCCCTTCTTGCTACAGTTGACGATACCAAATAAAAAGCTACCTAGACCTTTCATCACTAAAACCGTACATTGAGATTACTGTAAAGTGAGGTGAGTTCACACTAGTCTAGCACAGATCCAGCCTTATCGCTATTTTGGCATAAAAAAATGGTAAACTGACAGATTTTAATCCACAGTGGCGTGAGTATCCTTAACACTACTCAAAATTAAAGGATTGGAAATAAGGAACTGCAACTATTTTCTTATCCATTACAAAGGTACACTCCTGCCCATTACAACTACGTAAAAATAGGTAGTTCTATAAAACATATAACAGTGGAAGAGTTCAGCTAAGCTCTCTCACATCTTCCACAGCACAAAAACAAGCAGGTGCCCTACACACAGAACAGCGATGGGCAACACCATTGAATTCTAGCCTTTTGAAATAATTTCTTTGTATTCCACACAAAATAAAACTGAAGAACTGCAAGCAAAAATCTGTGAAATCAGGAAGGGATAAGTTACTATAGCTTAATAACAAGACCAACATAAATTTGCCTGTTGCAAACATTAAGGTTTTGATCGTCAAACACTTAATATCACCAACTCTAACCAAGAGGTGAGAGATGCTGGACTACAATAGTTCAGTGAGTTCTCCTTTTAACGATTAAAAAACACACTCGATCAAAAGAGATGTTAAAAAAAACCCCAAAACTTTAAATAATGTATAATCCAGCTTCTCATTTACTTTTAAAACAATCTTCCCTCTAATTTTAATTCCATCTCAATTACATTAAGGCTTGTCGCTTATAAAATACAACAACAAAACAATAATCCACACAGCTCAAGGCACGAATACACTGTGACTGGGGGAAAAAAGTTGATACAAGACTTAAACCTCATATACCTACCTGTCCTTGCTGCAATAAGATGGGTTGCTTTGTCAGGATCATCAGCACTTAGTACCAGGTTCTTCACAATTTTAGCTCCAAGGGCTGTTGCATGATAGTGCTCCCGTGTTTTCTCAATGGGAAAATTCGTTGGGTAGAGTCCACTAAATATTATGGTTACATCTGCCAACACCTTACTTTTCAGTTCTGGCACTATTTTTCTGATGTCTGGAATTTCCTCAATCTCCTTTTTCAGGTACTTATCATACTTTGTATAATAATCAGTGTGAACCCGAACAAGGATTTCTTCAAGGTATATTAGATGGTCATCATCATCTGTATCATCCTCCTCCTCTTCTTCCTCCATACTCTGGTCTAAGGACTCACCCATTGTAAATCCAGACTGCTCACTAATCTGGGACTCTGTTTCAGCTTCCTTCTTGTCTGAACACCCATTTCCTAAATCACAGAGGCTTTCCTGTTCGCTTTCTTCTTGTGCTTCAAGATCAACAGATTTGTCATGAGTATTTCCACTAGGTAGAGATTTTGTGTCCTCAGAATGGTTCACCTGATCATCCTTTTTTTCACTTGCATCAGTGCAACTCCCTTGCTGTAAATTTTCAACCTGCAGAGGTTGTTTTGATTTTTTCCAGCTTCTCTTTTCCTCATTTTCACTGTCTGATACAGAAGTGGATGACTTTCTGGCATCCACTCCACCATCACTTTCACTGTCACTAGACAGCTCAAAGTCCAAGTCATTTGTTACCTTTTCTTGGATTTCCTGCTTCTCCAAGACTGTCTTATCATTTTGTTCCGAAGAAATCTCAGATTCCTTCGCACTTGTCAACTCGTTAGCAACTGCGCTCTCTGTTTTGCAATCACTGCTATCATTCAAGGAGTCCTTGGCATTAGATTGGCCACTGGAATTCAAATCCCAGTCAGATATTTCACTGCTTGCAGAAGTACTACCATTAGTAGTGCAAGTGTCCTTTGTAGCTTTGAGACCATTGCTTTGTTCTTCTATACATGTAACATTCTTTATTTCTTCAGCATCTTTTGCTGATGTCACTGTTGAATCCAGTGCCTCTGGTTTTGCTGAGTGGTTTACTAAAACACAAAAAGGTATGAAATAAAACAGACTCATTTTTAAACTGTATAATTTCTAACATTGATCAGAAATTTATTCCATTTCCCTTTCCACAGGGAAAGGAGCACAGTGAAACTTCACTATGCTCAGTAACGACAATTGGCATTTTCCAAGCTGTTAAGAAATTTTAAGTGTCTTTGCTAGTACTAGAAAAGCCCTTCACAGAAATGCACTTCACCTCTGCAGAGGAGAAGTGCAAGTAGACTCATCACAAAAGTCTTTAGTAATTATTTGTCATCCTTGCAGACTTTAAAAGATTTATCTGGCAGCATTACTTTTAGGACCAAATGTCAGGGCAATTAAACTACTTTCCCAGACGCCACAGCGAAAAAACGGAGGGGGTGGGGGTGGAAATCAGTAAGCAAAGTTATCGTTCCAGAAAGTCCCAATCTAGAGCATTCCTATAAGGAATTCCTTTCTTCTGCTTTCAGGTGTTTTCTTTCTTTCATAACTAAAATTATTGTATTTTAAAACTTGGAAAAATATACACCCTAGAGCAATAAAAAGATGCTGTTCAAGCTTTGAGATCCTACTGAAAGGTAAGGAAAGTATAATGAACTGAAATGCAGAAAAGTAATTTTAAGTTATGTTTTCATCAAATGGCTGCAGATGAAGTGAGAGAATCAAAGAAACTGCTGACACCCAAGCAGCTGACCTCAAACCTTCTTTGCCAGGAAAAATGGCTAGAACTGCCACACTTTGGCCCTCTGCCTGTCCTGTGGCAACAGTAACAATGTGGAGAATGCATGCCAGGGCAGCCTGACTCTGCTTGAATACACTATAATCCTTACTATACTGGACATCTCTAGTTCAACAATAACAAAGTGCCACCATATGTATTAAAAAAAAATTAAAGGCTAACCTGGAAAAAAAAATCTGCAATTATTTCTTAGATACTGCCTTTCAAACCCATTTTCCCTGAAATGAATACTAATGCAGTAGCACATACCTTCCAAAATTCACTATTTCTATTTTCCTGTTAAACCTGATGAACATAAGGTTCTCTTATCAAATGCCAGAAGAATACTTTAGACATCAGAATCCCTAACAAATTTTATTAGGATGATTTATGTAGGGAGGAAGCAGAGCCAAAAAACTTCATTTCCAGCAGCACAATAAGAAAAGAATTTATTAACTGTTACTCCAACATTTAGGAAGGGAAGAGGATAGAAAAAAGAAAGAAGAGAAAGTTGGTTCCCATACCACTTACAAAGAATAAACTGCATTGTTAGAACCACACAGGGAAAAAAAATCTAAATAAAAAAAGCTTTTTCACATGTCCTCCTCAACAAATTCTAGAGCAATTTGATATATTTTTGTATCAGTTACCAAGAACAGAAATGCTTTTACCAGTATTCCACTTCTGCTGTTGTACCTCACCAGAAAAGCTATTAATAAGAGACAGCCCAGTCCTACTGAACTACCTGTGTCTGTGCTGCAGGAGCTGGCAACCTACAACAGCCTCAGATCACTCACCTGAGCACAGCAGCAACACGAGCAAAACTACCACCATGACTTATGTCAGTCACACCCGCCAAAGCAGAGAGGCAAAAAAGTTTACAAATTAATTACCTTTCTTCTTCATTTGAATTTCCCTTGATCCAGGAGGTGCATTAATATCTCCTATCCCCTGAAAGTACACGTATTTCTTCACAGTTATCAAATTGGGTGCAAACTTCCAAACATCCTCTCTGTCATCAATGATACAAACCATGGAATCTCCACATGGGAAGAGATCTCTAAGGAAACAGATAATAAAATTAATCTAGTTTTAGAGTAGAATACTATACATAAATAGGTTTTTTTTTTTTTTTTTTTTTGATATTCTGGAAAAAAGCATGCATATCAGCTGGACATCTAGTTTATATACGAGTAACTTTTATAACATAACTAATTTTTTCAGAAGTCATGATTTGAACAGCACAGAAGCAACTATTGCACAGACAATACGCTATTTTTATGTAAAAGTAGGAGAAAGAAACAGTAACAGTTTTTAGGGAGTTGATTCCTTCAAGCCAAAACAAGTGAAGCAAAGAATTATATGTAGAAATAGTTATATTTCTAGCAGGTAGAAGCACAGTACTCAAGATATACACATACATATGAAAACACTAAGACAAGACAGAAAGCTTCTTATTTGCTGTAGTTAGATGGGAAGCTTAACCATTTCTAATCTAGGTTCACGAACTAATAAACACATCTGTCCTCAAAAAAAAAAAAAAAAAAAAAAAAAAAAAAAAAAAAAAAAACTTGGTTTCATCCTCTGAAAAAGATGAGAACCTGAATTTAGACTAGAATATGCATTCAAGTTTCTAGATGACCTAATTTCAAGAACCACTGCAGAACAGAAACTGCTAGATGTATGGCACGTTTGAAAGCCAGTATACGAGATACTCAATTATGAAAACTGCATCCAGAATTCTGGTTTAATTAAAACAAACAAAAAAAACCTTACATATACACATAAACACAACATAAAAGCCACTACATGAGATCATAAGCTATAAGGAAGAAACATGATTAAGTTAAAAATAAAAACTATAAACTAAAAACTATAAATCGTTTCAAGACCTCGTTCCAGCATCACATTACAGCAACTTGTCTGCTTAATACCCAGCATCTCAGTTTTACTGAGACAATGCTGATATTTAAGAAGCAGGTATGGGAAAACTATAAATATCTTAGAGGGAGTTGCTTTTATCTTATTGACAGTATTCTATCTCTTTTCCTTCCATTTCATTTAAGGTACATATACATACCTAAGATTCCCGGTTTTAGAAAATGGATCAATACATTCATCTCTTGACAATATCCGATGAGAAAAAAGCTTCTTTTCAGGATCCAAAAATCCTTTTGAAAGGAGAGAGTACAAAGTTAATGCTCAGGCCATTTGCTCCTTGCTCTTTTTACATATGAATACATAATTCAGCTGTTTTAAAACGTGCAATAATAGTTTTAACGGACCACTTTAAAGATATTACATGTGGTAAAAGCTAAGCACAGTGGACCAAATATTCTAAATTAATTCAGTGGGGCTAATATTAAAAAAAAAAAAATCCTTTCAACATAGCACCAAGTTTGGAGTTAATTTGGATTCTGTGACATCCAGACGGATTAGGCCAAAGGAAAGAGATACAGCAGTTGATAGATAAACATGATTTTTGCAACTTACATTTATATCCCTACAGATGGTACTTTAAAGCTAATCGCTCTCCTTAGCTCATCATGCCTAGGGACTGCAGGAAGTCTCACAAGAGTCGGCAATGTGCTGCACTACTCAAGCACAACAGGCAAAAGTTAAGGGACAGATTCAGCCGGAGCTCTTGCATTTGTAGGTTTTAAGTTTCACCTCTACCACTACTTTAAAGTTTTAACAGCAGCAGTAATTTGTCTGACTTTCTTTAAAAAGAAACAGGACAAGCTGTGCTGGCTGATCTGGAAGCAAGATAAAATGCCATTAATTAGGAAAATGGTGCCTTGAGGGGTAGGCAGGCATGCACGCACATGCTCCTGAACCTGGTCTCCAACAATGAAGTTGAACATCTTCAGCTACTTAAGTGCTTAGAAAGATAGTGGCATGGTACTTGCTAAACTGTCTCTACCTTTGTACTGAACTTGCCCTGAAGTTCACATCAGCATCTCACTCTTCTTATGAGCAATATAATGCAATTAGCACTTATTTGGGAACTTTTTTCCTCCCCTCAAGGTGGCCATATTATAGCCAGAACAAGAGTTCAGAATGGCCGCACTAAGGACCAACTTGGATTTTCTGCCAAGGAGCGTTTGGATTTTTGCTGGTTCAGCTCTTTCTAGAAGTCCAGCTCCCACTGGCATGTTAAGTTGGGCCTTCAAAAAGCTGAAAACTTGATTCTACATTTATTAATATTAATGTGTAGTTGGAATAACTTAAAACCCATAAAAGCAAGAAAATTCCGAGTTAAGGACAGAGGTTCAACCTTAACTCACCCGACTATGCTTAAGAATTGCTGCCAACTCGTAGAATCATCCCCTGTAGTGAGACCCTTGCAGTACCTAGGCATAACGAATTGAGAGAATTAGCTACAAAGGTTCATCACCAGACACACAGATATTTTGACAAACTATGTAAACTGTCACACAAGCTGCTGTTCTCAATCCACAGAGACTTTCTGCACTGAACTGGACAGAAGTGCATGGATTACAACAATGAGGCATTAAAATCACAGTGTTGTCTAGATAAATCTGTAAGGAAGAGGAAGTTCAAGCCAGCCCCAACAGAGAAGCCCTGATGGCTGAGGAGGAGAGATGAGGTACTCAGCAAGGCTTTGGCAAGAACTGATTAATTTCAGCATCTTTCCCCGCTCTGGTAATTTGCTGGAGACCGAGCACACAGTTCATCAGAGCTGTATCCACACAGGTAAAACCCTGGGCTGAATTAGTAGTCCTTCACAACTTGAATTATTTAATATGCAAAATAGCCCTGATGTTTATAAGAAGCCCTTTATGCCACTTGGATTGTTTGCTTTTCAGGAAGGTTGCCTAAGGAATAGAATCAATATAACAAACACAATCCAGATGGCAGATAACACTGCATTCATGCTACACACACAGTTTGCTTTGGTAATATGTTAACAGCTGCTTTGGATCTTTGGAAAGGACCACATATTGGCTTTTCACTAATCTGTGCAGTGGTAACAGAAACAAGACACCTAGTGGCTAGATCCCACATGCCAGTAAAACCAGCAACTTTTATTTTCAGGGATACACTGAACACAAGGTTTAAGATCTCATCATAATGCACTGGTTAGATATGAAAGCTATTGTGAAACTGTATGTAAAGTATCTTCCAAAGAAAATATCGGTGGCTTTTTCCAAAATGTCTGCATAGCTGATGTCATTTTTGTGGGGCTGTTTTGGTGCAAGTTTCTATAATTTGGGAAAAATGAAAAGATATCATCAATAAATTCATCAAGTATCAGAAATAGTGAAAAAGTTCAGCGTTTTCCTGAGATGTGCTCTTCATCCCCAAGTATTTATTCCAAAGCATTCCCCCACCTGGCTAACAACACACCCTGAAAACACGATTATGGCCACAGTCTATTGCATTAGCACAAATTGTGAATTTTCTTAACATAATTTCCTATTGCAGAAGTATCAGTCTGTGGAAGCCATTCCCAGAGAAGAGGGCTGATGAATTTCTTGTTATATAAACTTGCCAAAAACAAACAAACAAAAACTTTAAAGCTTTTTGTAATAGTCAAAATGAACAAAGATAAATACTTGCTGTATCAAATTAAGACCAAGCGTCAATTTATTCTCACAAATTAGACACAAGAGTGCTAAGTGAATTTTTACTTAAATTCGGGTCTCTCCTTGAAAACAGCCCCAAGATAACTTATTATTATCCTTCCACCACCACATTACTAGCAACTCTAGGGTAGACCTACTGCGCAGACTATTCCTCCCCACAGCCCCCAGACAAGCACACATTACTCTCCTAAAAAACCAAGTCTCAGTAAATTTACATTAAACATGTTACACAAGCTATTGAGTTAGCATTGCAGTGGGGGATAAGAAAAGTAAGACTAAAATATGCTTTTGAGTATATGTCTTTTACCCATGCAAATGCAATGCTATATTAGTTAATATATTTTATCCTGCATTGCCATGAATACAGACATGCACATACATACTCTATTACTATTAGAGAGTACTGAAAGAGCAAAAGGGCCATAAAGAAGACAAATCACAAAAATTTATCTTAGTTACTTCAGACAATACTAGGCAATCATAAAGGGAAAAGAGCTCAGTACCTTACTCAATATCTAAAGCTTGTTTGTTTCTAAGTTTTTAACGGCCCCTCTGTTGTAATTTATGAAGGCAGCAAGCAAGGTAATCCTTTCCAGGATCCAGAATCCCTTAAAAGCTCAGTGACTCTATCAGTGAGCTTTCAGGTAGTCATCCCATGTCATCAAAAACGAGAGAAGAGCATTCATACCACATAAATCACGACATAACTGCATAAAAACGAATATACAGATGTTGCATAAGCCACATTACAAAGAGTTACGTAGGGCCTGGCGTGTCTTACGCACACAATCTTGCAAAGGTACTACATCCTTCGTCACACTATACAAACATATAGCTTCCTGGTGCCATCTTTCTAAACACGTAAAGTTAGTTTGCATACCTCTTGGATTAAATGGATGCCAACATAAGAAGGGTTTAAACCCTTGGTTAGTTTTGCAACAGCTTCTACCTTAAAGTTCAGAATAGTGCACACTCCACCTTACCCTGAAATTTTGTGCATTTCTGTTCATATATATGTATTTTTTTTTAATTGGAATTTGACTTTTGAATATTCTGGCATGCTGTTAACAGTCTTTGTGAAAAAGTCAGTGCATTCCAATACTGCCAATACAGTACTTTGTTTCCAGCAACTCAGACATGGTATTTACACATGTACTCTTATAATACTGTTACTTAGCTCTATATAAATTCTCTTAGAAAAGCTAGCCTGTAAATGACAAGTTAGCAAAAAGCAAGGCTATTTTATAATATTCACAATGCAACTCATACTTGGAAAGGTTCAACTCTTAAGACAGATGGAACTAAAGAGCAATTTCTAGCAGAAGCAGTGTAACAGTAACATCCAATATGAAGGTGAAAGTATTTTTTTTAAAAAAAGTCTAAAATTGCATTTCTGAAAAGTCACCTTCAGTGTTATTTCTGGTCCTACTTTAAAATGTGGAGACAGCTGTTGACCCCGACTTTCAAAAGAATCCAAGACATTCAGACACTGGTGAGTATACATACACATCTTCCATCAATTATTTATTGAAAGGTATGCTGTAACATACATGCTTTAACAAATCAGATACATTCTCAATTATACTTTCTGAACTCAACATAAATCTTAAGAAGGATTTGTATTGCATTTATTGCATCTATTCCTTACTATTCCTTTTTTTTGTGGCATTAACTTTTTATAACCACGATTTAAGTTGTTTCAGTGTTAAAAATGTCTAGCTACTCTGATATAGGGGGAGGATGGAAGAGAAGGGGAGATGTTTAAAACAGCACTTGGTTAAAATAATCATGTAGAAGAAAAACTATAGGAAACTCCTGATTAGCAAATCCAAAACTAATCTTCAAAGATTACAGATACAAGATACATCTTTAAGTTCGATGAATTTGCAAACAAACCTTAGGTGGACACAAATTGTATTTACAAATGCCAGCTAACCCAACTTAATAGGCAGCAGGAGTCAGTATGGAATAAGAGCAAAGGACTGACGAGATCTCTTTTTCTAAATGCGGTAAAAGCACTCCAAGCTCAGAGATTTTAGAGAAATACAGGACATATAAAGAGAATCTGAGAAAACAAGTAGAGACTTAAGAAAAAGATTCCTGGCATTTTAATCCAAGTCCTTCCTTTATGTAACATAGGAATAATGGTAAAATATTTAACAGACAACTATAAGAAATTACCTAACCAATACTGCCATCAGGTGTTCTGATCGTGTATCACTGTGCATTTCTCCTGCAACTTGGCTATTCTTGGGTCTACGTATCTACACTTTCCATACCTACACATTTCAGCAGAAATTAATATGAATCATAGCATTACTCATTAAACACTTCTGATGATGTTAGACAGTTTTCCAGCAAATCCCAGAGGTATCAGGAAGTGACAATACTCCTATTTT